AAGCCAAAATAACTATGAAAATAAATTGTTGAATCTCTACAATCTATATTCAATATTGTATTTTCACTTTTAAAAAATACTAGATCGAAACCCGCGCTACGCTGCGGGTATTTTTTTGAAATTTGTTTTATTTAAACAATCAAAAACCAAAACAATATTATTACATCAAAAATAAAAAGAAAGAGGATTTTAGAAGAAAAAAAACAGGATCTGTTAACCAAAAAAAACAAAAGGATATGTTTACAATAAACAGTATAATTACAATTCTGTTTACTTGTCTAAGAGTTTGACGACAAACTCTTCATCTTTGTTCTACTACGAGAAATACAAATAAGATTATCCACATAAGTCCATGATATAAGATAAATAAATAACATGCAAACTATGTTTTTTACATTGACTTTACTATTGGAATCAATTAGTCTCTCAGCCACAAGAGACATCAATCTCTGAGAAAATTATTAGACAAAATTAATTAAACACAAATTACAAAAATTCCATGAAAATATAGAAATCGAAAAAGATGGACCAGACTTTGTTATGGGTTTTTAAAATAAATAGGCTAAACAATTCATAAACATTGGTTAACATAATTTGGTTCGTGACTTAAAATTAGAATGTTCAAAGATAAACAGTTACAGAATGACGATCCAATAGTTCTTAGCATTATAAGGGAATCTCATCTTTCTCTTTGTCTTTCTCTTAACTTATATTTACCATTAAATGTTCTTGGAATAGAGTAGATCAAGCGTTTGAGCCGGCGTGAGATCACCTTCATTCAAAACATAAATCACATATACATAGTTAATTCTCAACTTTTTGCTATGCTGAATTATATATTCTTATAAAATAGATCACTAATAATAACCAAATTAATCAATAACATTTGTGACATTTCAGCCAAAATTTACAAATAACAAAAAGAGCATAAATCCAAAATAAGTCAAATTTCAAATGCAAACTTCACTTGACTACACATCTCTATGGTTAGATCATAGAATAATTTTACCATTTTTCCCTTTAATGATTTTATTTTTGAACAAAAACTAACAAAGCTTTGCGCTTTATATGCAAATGATCAAGTGAAGCAAGATACATGTATAAGAGGAATATAGAGATTCAAGTTTGAAGTAACAAGACGGGATAATAGAACAAGTGTGAGATTACAATCCTAAGAGTGTACTGTTCTTTACTGCTGTAGATTTCTTGAATTGAAAAAAAAAATGTAAACCAATTTAGCAATCGTAAACTCTTATGAATAAACTATGATTCTAATTGTGTTGATGTACCACAAATAATTTTAACATTAATAATTTAAGATTTTTGGAGTATAATATTCACTAAAACATATTTACATATATCACAATATAAAAAAAAACTAACATTTGTAAAAAGTTAAACATATACAAAAACATAAAATAATAAAAAATAATTATAAATATCAACTACACAGTACATTTTTTGTAAAAGTAAGATATAAAAATTATTTTTTTAGTATATGCATATATAAACTAATAAAATAAAAAACAATTAAAATACAAGCAAAGGTAAAATAATATCTGAAGAACCTATTACATTTTTACCGTAAAAACTTATACTAAAACAAAATTAATTTATAAAAACAACACACTGCGTAAACTAATTGTTAAATTCACTTCATGCATGGTGTTCTCTAGAAACCATTTGATGTCAAACAACTTTTTTAAAAAATATATAGGATAGCTTTTTTCATTTTTTGTAGATATTGAATTATTAAACAAATTAGAAATATATTTATCATTATCAATAAATTTAAAATTATTATGTGTATGATTGTATTAATTAGATTGGTTGTCTTTTTTAAATAATATGTTTTTTTTTATAAAAAGCTGATGTGGCATGATGGAAATCTGATGTGGCAAACTGGAGAGGTGATGTGTATTAATCGAAATGTTTTTATTGGATAATGATTTTAATGAGGTGTCAGCTTCAGAAGAGTCCAAAATGCTGATGTGTCAGGCCTGGAGAGATTCTTATTGTTATTATTGTATTGATTGATCACAAATGTTGCATCGCTCTCCAACATTAATTTTGGAGCATGATCGAAAACGGAAACCACACGCTAGAGAGACCACACGCTAGTGTTGAGATTTAACACTTGAAATCTAAAAGTTTATTTGCATCGTTAAAAATTTGTGTAATTTTTTCTTACGTAGGGTCTCTTATTTTATTTTGATTTTTCTAGGATACTTTTTCGTCTTATTTTTGGTCAACTACTTTTTTTCCTCTTAAGTATTACCCTTTTAATCTTTTGTCGCTAACATTTTGTTTCCATAAATCAAAATAATAATGGTTTTCGTAAAACGTCCCAATAGCCATCTCAAAGGACACAATGCGCATCATCTTAAATTAGTATACGAAACTTCTAAATCGACCCTTATCTTACCTGTTCGATTCATTCTTAAACATAATGAACTATCTTATATTACTAAACCTATATCTTGATTAGTACTTAAGTTAAGTCAAAATCTAAGTTGACGATTTAAAAAATTGAGTTACTAAAGATGAAGCAAGAGAGTATATATGTTGGAAAAGGTGTTCTTGCAAGGAATTGTAATAGTGACTAACATGCACGAAAAAAAAAAATTGATGGGTGAATCCGATTAATGTAAAAAGTTAAGAGAGTGGAATTAGCAAGTTATTAATCAGAATATAATATTGTAAAATAAAGAGGCAGACATAAACTGATGTTCTAGAGAGGAAAAGAAGACAACCCATGACTTCCGCATTAGTTGGATTCAATTAAAGATTTAATTAGAGGCCAAAACTTGAAGCTAATCATTGTATTTGGATGATAATATTAATAATTATGGGCTCACTAATTATAAGCATTTGTGGTCATTATCTGCGCTAAACTATACGTGGTTTACAAATTAAATTTTATCCTCCAATTATATATATGTTATCATGAATATCGTTTCAATAATGTTTTCTTGGTATCACATCGTTCCAATAATTAGCTCCATACAACTGTAATTAAGAAGTTTAATAGTAATTACTATTCAATATGTGTCCAGATGTATATATATTTTGTAATTTGGATTTCACATCGGATCACTAAACAATACTTCATCTGTCCCAAAATATAATTTCTTAAGATAAAAACACAAAGATTAAGAAATTAATTTTTAAAACTAAAATTAATTTAATATTAATTAAAAACACAATTCAACCAAAAAAAAAAAAAAGATTACAGAATTTCAAGAGTCAAAAATATCAAACAACAATTTATCTAGAAATTTGTAAAACATCATATAAAGTGGAACAAAAAAAGTTTTCTTAGACATCTTGTATATACATTACACATTTGTGTATAACATGAAAATGTCATCTATATATCATTATAGATAGTGACAATTTATTCTTATTTTTATTTTTTTTGAGATGAAACTTAGCAAAAGAAAGTCACATACCGTCTGGTCCAAAGTCCTATTCCTAGGTTTCGCCTTATAAACACCAAGGAAATTAATTTAAACTAAATAGACGAGGATAATAAATTAAAACACACAGTAAGAATTATTTGTTTAATAATGAAAAGAAGGCTTAAGGGATGCTTAAAGATTAAGGTTCTTATGATACGTCCTAGTAAGGAAAACTAAATTTTAAAGTAAAAGAATTTAAAAAAAATTGGAATAATTTTTAGGGAGATTGACACAAATAGCCCCAAAAAAGTTGTTTTTTCCAAAAATAGCACCTCATTTGAAAAGTTCCACAAATAGCACCATAAACTTCAATTAAACTTAATGAAAATATAAGATAGAAAATAAAAAAGAGAGCAAACACTAATCTAATATTAAATTGAATCAAAATTGTTTTAAATAGTGAAAATATATACCCTAATTTAGAAATAGGGAACCCAAATATAATACCACAAACTAATATTAAAATAAAAATATCTTTTTAATGGTGAAAATATATACCATAAACTAATATTAAAATGAATCAAAATCTCTTTTAAATGGTAGAAATATATACCCTAAATTGGAAATAGAGAACCCAAATATAATATTTTAAATTTATTTCTAATTTATTTTGTTGAATAGCTTTTATATAAAAGTTGTGGTATTATTGAAAAAAAAAAGCTAGTGATAAAATTTTTAGAACAAAAACACTAATAGTAAGTTAACCAGTGCTATTTTTGGAAGTTTATGGAGTGTGTGCTATTATTGTCAATAAAACTTGTTTTAGGGCCATTTTTAGGAATTTCTCTAATTTTTATTCTTGTTATCACTTTGAATATACTACATAGTGAATGTCCATAATTTCTTCATTCACAAGATATTAACCAGTAAACCACATCCCTTTTTTCCAGTGTATATACATAATAACATTGTAATATAATTTACCGAAAAAATAAAAATAATATTGTAATCTTAGTACAACCATCAATTTAAATATATATATATATATATATATATATATATATATATACACCAATATATATGAATAAATATAACATTTTCAACTATTATATATGCATTTAGAATATTCAAAGTGATAACCAAAGGAAAACAACGTTGGTATCCAACAACAACATTCGTATAATTTAAATATAAACTCTACACCAAAAACAATATATGGCTATAACACCTAAATGAGTTAGGGCTTAGCTGTCACGTTTGGATTGATAAGTTATAAGAAAAAGCGAACGTAAAATGGAGGCCACGAACAAGTCGCAAGATAAGAAAAAATAAACGTCAATTAATTGTTTATGAAAGCAAAAAATACTAACATAATATTGTTTAACCAAAAGTGTTTCTGAGACTCTTTAATTCTAGTTTACAAAAGAACAAATTAAGCTTGGCAGAGAGTAGATCTGAGTCAGACGATAATGTTTTTTTTCGGACAATAAAAGTTAGGTTCCTTAAATTTTCTAATATTATCTCCACATGATCACACCAATACACACACAACACTCCTTAATTATCGTATATATAAACATTTATTCTCCACTTATTTCTTCAAAATTAAGACAGGCTTTTTTCTCTGGAAAAATCCTCAAAAAACAAACAAAAAACATGAACATGGAAGATCAGTTTCCTAAAATAGAAACTAGCTTCATGCACGACAAGCTCTTGTCTTCTGGATTCTACGGGATCTTAAGTTCTTCAACGCCACCACAACTTCTCGGTGTTCCAATATTCTTGGAAGGTATGAAATCTCCTCTTCTTCCTCCTTCTTCGACTCCGAGCTACTTTATGTCGCCTCATGATCATGAGCTCACTTCTTCTATTCATCAATCTCCGGTAGCTTCTGTTCCTTGGAACTTTCTAGAATCTTTTCCTCAGTCTCAACGTCCTGACCCTCATCCTTCTAAACCCCCAAACCTTACTTTGTTCCTTAAAGAACCAAAGCTTCTAGAACTTTCTCAATCTGATAACAACACGAGCCCTTACCATAAATACATCCCAAACTCTTTTTATCAATCAGATCAAAACAGAAACGAGTGGGTAGAGATCAATAAAACCCTAACCAACTACCCCTCAAAAGGTTTTGGAAACTATTGGCTAAGTACCACCAAAACTCAGCCCATGAAGTCAAAAACAAGAAAGGTTGTTCAGACGACGACACCAACAAAGCTATATAGAGGAGTGAGACAAAGACACTGGGGCAAATGGGTCGCAGAGATTAGGCTTCCAAGGAACAGAACCCGTGTTTGGCTCGGTACTTTTGAAACCGCTGAGCAAGCAGCAATGGCTTATGATACAGCAGCTTATATCCTGCGTGGCGAATTTGCACACCTCAATTTTCCTGACCTAAAACACCAGCTCAAGTCCGGTTCCTTGCGATGCATGATCGCCTCGCTTTTGGAGTCCAAGATTCAACAAATCTCCTCTTCCCAAGTAAGTAACTCTCCTTCTCCTCCAACAAAAGTGGAATCATCGGAGCTGAAGAATCACATGAAGATTGAGCCATCAAGAGAAGAAGTGATGATGAAGAAACAGAAAAGCCATAAGGAAGTGATGGAAGGAGATGGTGTACAGTTGAGTAGGATGCCTTCTTTGGATATGGATCTCATTTGGGATGCTCTCTCATTTCCTCATTCTTCTTGACTTCAAATTTAATATGTCACAAGCTTAATTACTGCTATCCTTTTTTTTTTATAAAACAATTTCCAAAGAAAGAAATTCATAATATGATGCCAAGATTCAAGATTGGTTTTGCATTTGGGATTGAACACATTGTAATTCTTCATATGACCACATAATCAAGTGGTTCTCCTTTTTTTGTCTGCTATTAATTGTTATTTTCTTTGCGGTTACTAGCTAGTAACCATAAAATAGAAAAAGTGTTTGTATTTTAATGAGAAAATATTATAATTCTGTTGCACCAACTCCAACTTCAAAAGTCCAATGTATAGAATATTTCCTACATTCTATACTAAAGCTCAAAGGTCAATACTATAGAAGAGATTGTGAATAGTAATAGGGCAGAGAAGCGTTAGAGGGCAAATATGAGTTCGGAGTTCTGTTCTTTTTCTGTCAACAACTACAATATGTTTTTACAAACAAAAAATTGTATATATAATATAACTTTGGGAATATTAGATATACTTATGTCATTTTTATTTTTAATTATATTTCCGAATATGCAAACAAAAGTGAAAAATCTAGGTCTTAGCACAGAAATAGAAAAAAAGACAAGTATCACTTATTTGGAAAGAGAAAGTTTTATATCCAAACGACGCCGTTTAGGGTACATGTGTGTGACAAAACACAAGAAAATAAATCTCATACACTCCACTTCTCCAGCAAAAAACCAACATTAGAGTTTTGACAGAGATTGTTACAAACTACAATTGCTCACTAGGTGTATGTTTGTGTCGTGTTATTCGAGTAGATACATACCTTCCAGTTCAAGCACTATGCAGGTCCAGTGTCATAGACATCGCCTTGACCTACAAGAGTAACATGTGAAACCATAAAAGATTCAGCCACTTGTTAAGCTAAAAAATCATGGATAAATTAAACTAGCAAGAACTGTGTGAATATACATTATTACTAAGTCAAACAAAGAGAGTACTGTTAGCAATTTCCGTCCCTCGAATCAAATTAGACAACAATGAAACTTACCATAGTGGATGAAGGGCTAGAAGAATCGAGAAGTCCGGATCTTCTGGCCTCCCAAAACCGGCTTGTTTTATCTCCACGACGCTGCACCTGCAATTTGCTCTGTTCTTTGGAAGAGAAACTGATCTTCTCTCTTCCCTTTTGTACAGCTCTTAACCGTCCTCTCAGCAACCCAACTTCACTCTCTATTTTCAGTCTTTCATAGTCAATAGCTGACATTGAATTTCTGCGCATATTGGGAGACATGTTACTTTTCCCCGGTGGAAGTACATAACTTGTATCTGAAACACTTTGTGATCTGTCCAGTTTCAGATCCCTAGTGGCATGGTCAAAAGGAACATTCAGTTGCGCTTTGTTATCTTCATCGGTCACTACATGGATGTCATGCACATGGCAATCAATGTCGTGGGAGACCTCACCGACATTCTTAGAAACAGCGATGTCGCTAGTTCTTGATATTAGTTTTGGAAATGAAGTGCCACCTTCCTCTCTTTCTTTCAGTTCTACATCACTCAGGAGCTTGACTTTCTCGTGATGCAGATCAAATGGCTCACTTCTTGACTGATCACGCTCAGGATTTTGCTCTACTCCATTCACCTTGATTTTGTCATCATTATCAACCTCATCATAATCTTCAGGAAGCACTGATTTGTTTCCATGTGCAAGTAAACGACTGTCCATCTGACTAGTGAAGATCTCAAATCCAGAAGAGACATCCGCAGTCTCCATGTCATCCCATGGTTCAGTAATTTCTTTTGGCGTTTGCAATCTTTCGATTTGAGCTGGTTTTGAATCTGGCGTATTGTGAGGTTGCTCAGTCACAAGAAACATTTGCCTATAGGTGTCAACTTCCTTCTCTAGAAAATGTTTCTCCCTCTCTCTCCTAAGCAAAATTTCTTTGAGAATACTCATCTCTTCCGCATCAAAAGCAGACTTTTCTTCTATCATCCGCTGATATTGCCTAGCTTCCATCTCTATCGACGCTTTCTCCTCTTGTAACCGCAATATCATACCCAAAGCCTCATCCGCAGCAGATGCAGCAGCATTTCTCTCTTTCTCGAGTTCAAGAGCTAATGAAGCACGAGCAGCTCGTTCTTCCGCAAGCACTTGTTCTAGAATCTCAATCGTCTTTTGTGTCATACCACTATAAGTTAAATCCACAGGGGAACTACATGTACCCTCTCCCGCCCAAGAAAAAGTCCGTTCGGGTTGTTTGTTCTGAGCACCAGATTCACACCCAACAGAACTTAGTGAAACACTTTTCCGCAAGGACACATCCTCCAAGGTTGTTCCACTACCTACATTGTTATAATTTGTATCAAAATCAACATTCACCATCCAAAATGATTGAACAAGTAAATAACTTAACACCGCGAAACAAACACTTTGCTATAAGATACTAACCTTTGGAGTTCACAAGAAGAGGATCATTTTCATCAACATCTTTCAAATATTCCATAACGCTCTCATTTGATCCCTCAAAGTTCTTATGTCCTAAATTACCTTGAAAATGGTTCTTGAAACCATACGGCGACCTATGGAAGCTGAGCCGCTTACTCTTAACTTTAAAGCTTCCTTTTTTCAAACTTTGCGCTGTTAAAAGATCAAAACCTGAAGCCTTATTCTCAACATTTCCAACAGAAGGAGTACTAGACACCTCTTCTTCCAACTCAACGCGCTTACGCTCTCCTTTCCTCTTCTTTCCACCATTAACTTCTTTATATAAAATCGAATCAAAAGGCGTTCTATTTCTCACAGATCTCTGAACAGAATTGATCTTTTTAACCGGAACATTCCCTAAACTCTCTTGAAAACACTTATGTGGCTCACTGAATAGACCATCACAAGGACATGGAAGGTCTAAACCAAATAAACCGAGGAACTTCGATGTTACATAAACGAGAAACGATGCGCAAAGCAGCGAAAACGCAACAGAAAGATCAAGAAACACAGCCACTAAACCTTTAAATGTCCATGATCTTACCTCCTGGCAACGCATTTTATACACCTTCAAGTAAACAAACAAATTCTACAGTAAATTACACAAAATTTGTGAAATTGGTTAGAACCAAATTGTTATTTTGAATCAATCATATGAATAATATCCGAATCTAGACTAATTTGATAAGTTAATCTATCAATCAAAGGAGAAACTCACCGATGAATCAATCGTTACGCAGAGAAACTCGTTGCGATTTGATTAATTTCGTAAATTAGAAATTAAGACTGACACAAAGAAGAAGAAGTTGAGAAATCAAGGGGAAGTATAACGTAAACGGCTCTTCCTCTGCCGTTTTTTTTTTGTTCAAAAATCAAAAACTTTCTAGTAATTTTTTTTTTAATTTTCAAAACTTCAGTTGCAAATCACCGTACGAGTGAGCCGATACGCCGCCGTTTCGTCGCCGACCCCATCACTCTCTCTCTCTTGATATTTGTGTTTTTATTTTATTTATTATACACACGTAATTAGGTCTGGACAAAAAAACCGGATCCGATACCCGAACCGATACCCGGACCGAAAAAACCGGTTGAGGCGGGTTAGGGTATTAGAAAATTACCTCATTGGGTAGAGTATTGGATTACCCGTGGGTATCGGTTCGGGTCGGGGATTATCCGTTACCCATTTAGGGTACCCATAAACCCGAAGCAATACACATGTGTTTATATATGTATATAGATAATTAGATATAGTCTTATATGTATGTCCTAGGTTTTAAGTTTTGTGACTTTTGTCGTTTGAGTTTCCTTCTCGAATCCCTCATATATCGGCTTCTTTGCTTAAAATCCCTTCTTGAATCACAATATCAAAACTGGAAACCCTCGTTGCTACACTCTCGGCGACTTTACCGTCACCGAATATTCCGATTAACTCACCACCGACAGCTCTATCGCGAAATCAATCAGAGGTTAGTTCTTCTCCTTTTTGAATCATTCATTTTTTTACCCTATTTGATTTGTCTGTTTGCTGACACAATTAGGTGGAAGTTATGATTTTTATTAACACTTAAGAGTTAAGTAGTAATCTTTGTTATTTTGGATTGGATTTAGTATTTAAATGTCATGTTTGATGTTCTATTCTCTTTCTTTGATCATTTGAGCATGTAAAATGATTTTAAACTTCGGGTATTGGAGTCATATTTCGGGTTTATGGGTAATTTTACCCATTTAGACTCGAACCCAATGGGTACCCAAATTTTTTGGGTTTTTTCCGGTTCTCATACTCATTACCCAAACCGATTCGAACCCGACGATACCCGAACCGGACCGGAACCGAAACTTTAGGAATACCCGAATGGGCCATAACTTCATTACCCATTCAACCCGAACCCGAACGGGTTTTACCCAAACCCGAACGGGTTACCCATATGCCCAGGCCTACACGTAATCAAATTTGTACGTGATAGATTTGTATATTTAAGAGCATGATTATCAAAGGTGTCTTAAATATGGCTCTTAGGAATATTAAAGTAATAAATTTAAAAATGGCTCTTAACTGTGTATTTGTTTATTAGGTAAGCAACGCACCTTACCTTTAAAGCTTATTTGGAAATTAATTTTAATCATTCAATTGCTAAGATCATCTTAAGAAAATCTTAAGATCCTTCCGTTAATCATGGTCTAATGTGTTTGTTGCGCAGTAGCATACAAGATCCGATCTATATAGCATGGGGAGAAGTTACGAATATGAAAAACAATTTAAGTTGACCCACCGCCCACGAATTCGTCGGGGTACGTTTCTTAATTCTTACTGATATATCTTAGACACGGAATTTGTGTTTTTATGAGCGAGTGATGGTTTCATCTCTACATTGAGGCTAACTAGTGTTATGGGTTTGTTTATGCGTGGATGGTCTATTAAGTATATATATTTTGGTGGGTTAATTTCTCTATTTTCATTCTAATACAATGTTTTGACAATTTAAAAACAGAAAAAAAAAACAAAAAAAATGAGTTCAAGCCCACAGAGCCGTGGTCTAGTGGTAATTAAGAAATTTGACAAAATATCAGAAAAATTAAACTACTGATCAGTCGTAATTGATAAAACATTTTGTTTCAGCGAAAGAGTTTGTCACCTATTTAGTAGACACTGCAGCTTCAACAAATATATACCTAAGACGGAGAGTTTTGATGACAAAGTTTTGAGTTAAATACAACAAAGCAAAAATAAATTAGCTAAAGTCTGGTCTCTCTCTCACTCTCTCTTTCTCTAACTTCACCTAATACTACTACTAGGCATAACCCATCCAGCATCATGACCAGCAACCACACTATCTCCGTTTCCAAACACTCCTCGTTGCCTCTTCTTCATCAACGCAGCGGAAACCGGACTTCCTACAGTGCTTGAACTCAGAGAGCTCTCTGCTGAACAGTTGTTCTTGTGCTCTATCGCTACTGCAAGCTCGGATAGAGAAGGAATTGTCATTTTGGTTGTGTCGAAGGTGCTTGTTGTTCCTTGGCACCCATTGGTGATGGAGACCTTTATGGCTAGCTCTGAAAGCTCTTCTCTAGCTGCTTCTAGCCCAGCAAATGCAACAGCTTGCTCCTCTATAGCCTTGCAAGCTTTCTCTAGAATTGATTGTAGGTACTTCCCTTGTGCCTCGATCCTTAGCTGGAGTCGCCTTTGCACCTGCGCATACTAATGGACCTCATGAGGTGTGGAACCATGGCTCAGTGTTGAATAGTCTGTCAATCAAACATTAGGCTATGCGGTTTCTAACTTTCTATGGTTGTAACTTTCATCGACAGATTTACTAAGTAATCTCGGTCTAATAAGCTTTGAAGAAGTTCAATGGCGCAACTCTATGTCTACTGTATCTAGCCTAGGACTGAATGTAGCAGATTAGAGCTGTTATGAGTTCGGCTGAAGAGAAGTTAGTGAGGGTTGATAGGTTTATAAGGATGAGCTTTCTCTACGGTTTGGTTGGACATTTGATTGAGAGTTGAAAATCTCTCATTAATCAAACTCTCTCTGATCTTTGGTGAATTCGAATAAGAAAACTAACCTCTAATTGCTCATGTAGTCTTCTTTGGACTTCCATCTGAGCACGCAAAGCTTCAGTGACCTGATAACTCCTGGCTCACGAAAACAAACACAATGACTCATTGAGTGTTCATACAGCATATACAATTGAAAGTTGGAACAAATAGACCACTTGTAACCATACTCATTCTGTTCCTGCGCAGCCATTCTTAACGAAGATGTTGACGATGAACCCGTGTCCTGACTCTCCGCAACACAAGAAACTGAAGAAACAAGTTCATAAAGATATCAATTCACAACAAAAATCCATAATTTCCCAACTGAATCCATGAATGGAGGATTAGAGAACCATGACCAAAAAAAAAAGGAGTATTAGAGAAATACCATCCTTAGAGTTGTCAATTGATTCTTTGCAAGATTGCCTCCCTAGACGAAATTTCTACCGATCCAACACAAAGATAAACAACACAGTCAAAGCAATGATCCAAATAAACAAATAAAAGTAGCTCAATGAAGCATAAATGAATGATACTGTTTTGTTGCTAGTATCAAACCTGAAGATGAGATTTGAGATGGTAAAGAGTGAGACCCTTCACTCCCATTGTTCTCATTATAGTTTTTGGCGTTGCTTCTGTGTAATCAAAACAAACCGAGAATAGTCAGAACAAAAACATTACCAATTCAAAACAATGGTAAGACACAAATCTTTTTCTAATGCTATTATGCAAAAAAATTAACAATCAAGAAAATATGCATAATCTTATTTTTTAGGAGAAAAATTGGTTATATAGTTATTTATGACATAAAAACTTATTATACCATTATGCAAATGTATCCAATCAACACAAAATTGCATTATGCAATTATGTGTGTTACCAATTAGAGCTTTCATACAAAACCCAAGAAATTAACCCAAATCTGTAAGAAATTAAATTCAACAAAAAAAAAAAAACATTGTATTACCAAATCTGTAAGAAATTAAACCTAAAAACGTTGTCTTTCTCAAGAACAAGACACATTTCAAACACAAGATCCAGAATTTTCGAACACTCACTGTCTGGTCCACCGAGCTGAGTGACGGCGTCAACGAATCTTTCATGGAGCTCAGAGGTCCAACGAAGACGAGGCTTAGGGTCAGTGGTTAGGACCAAACAAGCGTCGATGGGAAGATTAGTTCCGTCAGAGTACTCTCCCAAGTTGCCATCTAGAGGAAGCGATGAATGAATCGCTGAGTACATTCTCTTTAATTTCACCACTGATTTTTATTTTCTCGGCTATTTTCCCGGTAAAGTGAAGGAAAATGTGGGGAGAGAGGTAATGGATTTCTGTAAGACAGCGAAGAGACGAGTTGATCTCCGATTGTATTAGTGTCTTTTCCTTATTAAAAATAAATATAAAATATAAATTTATAGTATTTTAAAAAAGAATTTTTTTTTTTAATCTTTTCCTTTTTAACTCTCATTAATATTTCAAATGGCAAAAATGTCAAAAAAAAAAATCTAATTTATCGATTTCATTAAAATAAATCACCAATTTTTATTGACTTTTCAATTTAATCACAAATTTTTGTTGATTTTGCCAAATTAATCACGTCATTAAATAATCTAATCGAAAAGTTGACGGTTCCGTCAAACCACTTAACGGCGGAACTAATTGTAAATGATACTGTACTTATCTTTTGTTTGAAGATATATGTTGGACAGTTGTCATAGATGAGATTGTGAGGGTCATGAGAGTCATTCATTGGCATGATTTTAGAGAAATTCAGTATTCGTTTCAGGAAGTTGTAGATTTTACGTGTCCTGGAGAATGCATTTGAGCAAAATACATTCTTACTACTGCTATATTCGTGCCATATTGAATTTTTTCAACAGTTGGAAAGTTTGTGAATTTTTAAATATTTTTTTGTAAAACAATAACATTATTTTTAATATATCTATGTGCTCTAAATTTCAATATATCTAAATCTTAATATATAATATTTGAAAATTAAGTTTGGACAATAAACATAATTCATGTTATTGTTGGGAGCTAAAATGTTTATAAGCCTTGAAAACTAATAAATTTCAACGAAATATAAATATTATCTCGATCCATAGATGTATTTTTCCCATTATACATAATCGAATAAAGATAATTGTAATATTCAACAATAGTTTTTATTAAAGAAATAGGCTAATCACCATTTTTTACACTTTTGATTCATTTTAAATAAATTCTAATTTTCCATAATAAA